CAGCAACAGCCCGAGCGCCAACCCCGCCCCGCCCGCCGCTGGCGGCGGTGGCGCGGCGCCAGGCGCGGCAGGCAGCAGCTCGCCGGCTGGCAATCGGAGCGGCGGCGGTGGCGCCGGCGGGCGCGCCGCTGCGGGGCAGGCGTTGGTGATGGGCGCGGCGGTGGGCGCCATTCACCAGATGATGGCGTCTGCCCCCGCCGCAGCCGCTGCTGCGGCGGCCGCCGCAGCCGCCGTCCCCGGCTTTGCGGCTGCCATGGTGCCCCGCGTCGCCGCCGGCGGGCTAGCCGTAGGCCCGCTTGCCGCCGCTGCGCCCGGTGCGGGCGCGTCGGCCGGCGGCGGGAGCGGCGGCGTGGGCGGCGCGGGGGCCAACGGCTCGGGCAACTGCGGCTGCGGGCTGTCTGACCCCGCAGGCCTCAGCCAGCAACAGAGCAACAGCCTTGCGCGCACCGGCGGCAACGGCCACAACGGCGGCAACGGCACGCCGGCCGCACACCGGCCCGCACAGGCGCCGGCGACAGCTGCGGCGCCGCCGCAGCCGCTGCCACAGGCGGCGCAGCAGCAGCGGCAGCTGCAGCTGCAACTGCTGCAGCGGCAGGCGCCGCACCAGCACGTGCACTACCCGCACCCCCACCACATGCACTCTGCTGCGTACTACACTCAATATGCATACGCCGCAGCAGCGCACCACCACAGCACCCACGGGACCCCGCCGGCGCCCACGGCGCCTGCAGGCCCGGCAGGCGCCGCACCGCCCCCATGTGCTGCCACCCCGGCTGCGACGGCGACTGCGACGGGGACGGGGACGGCGACCGCGCTCGCCGCCGGCGCCGCGACGGCGGCGGCGGTCAACTCGGGGCAGGCGCAGCCCCAGCCGCAACAGTACCCGCTGCTTGCGGGCGTCGCACCACAGATGCCTGTGCCGCCGGGCCCGTTGCCGCGGCTGCACTTGGACGTGCTGCAGCAGCACGCGCAGCACCAGTCCTGGCTGCTGAGCCAGCAGGTCCAGCTGGCGCAGCAGATGCAGGCGTCCCAGCAGCAGCAGCACGTGTTCTGGCAGCACCACCTCCACCTGCAGCAGTGGCAGCTCGCGCAGCAGCGGGCAGCCGCGGAGGCGGCAGCCGCCGCAGCAGCGCAGCAGAGCCTGCTGCAGCCGCAGGTCGCGCAGGTGCAGGGGCCCGCCGCGTCGGGCGCTGGCGCGGCGCCGCCGCCGGCGGCGCAGCAGCAGCAGCAGTGGCAGGGGTGGCAGCAGCAGCACATGCTGCACGCGCACCTGCAGCTGCAGCAGCACGCGCGGGACATGCAGCAGCACCGCCACCAGCAGGCGTCGCACCAGCAGCGCCAGCAGGCGGCCGCGGCCGCGTTTGCGCACGCGATGCAGGAGGCCAACGTTGCGGCAGAGGCCCAGGCGGCCGGCACCATGCGGCCCCCGCCACCGCCCGGCGTGCCGCGCGGGCAGCTGCAGCAGCACGCCGCGCTCGCCGCAGGGGCAGGGGCGGGGCCGCAGCAGCAGCCGGGCTGCACAGCGCAGGGGGCAGGCGTTCCGCCGGCCGTGGCGACGCTGCCGCTGGGGGGCGCTGACGCGGGCAGCAAAGCGCCAGTAAGCGCAGCGGGCCTGGTGGCTGCCCCTGGCGCAAGCAACGAGGGCGGCAGTGGCGGCGCCAACGGCAGC